TGTGTGTATGAAACACTCTTGATTGTGTTATAACCTTTATATATTAGGGTTATGTTGTAAATACACTCAACGGCCATTTTATTAGGTACACCTGTCTAACTGCTTTTTAACACATATTATCTAATCAGCCAATCACATGGCAGCAACTCTGTGCATTTAAGCATGTAGACATGGTCATGACAATCTGCTGCAGTTCAAACTGAGCATCAGAATGGGGAAGAAACGTGATTTAAGTGATTTTGAACATGGCATGGTTGTTGGTGCTGGTCTGAGTATATCAGAAACTGCTGATCTACTGGGATTTTCACGCACAACCATCTCTAGGATTTACAGAGACAGGTCTGACAAAGAGTCCAGTGAGCAGAAGTTCTGTTTGTTCTGTGATATTTTCTTGGCACATTTTGGGCCCATTAGTACCAATTGAGCATAGTGTCAACAACACAGCCTACCTGAGTATTGTTGCTGACTATGTCTATCCCTTTATGACCACAGTGTACCCATCTACTTATGACTACTTCCAGCAGGATAACGCACCATGCCATAAAGCGGGAATCATCTCAGACGGGCTTTTTGAACATGACAATGAGTTCACTTTACTCAAATGGCCTCTACAATCACCAGATCATAATCCAATAGAGCACCTTTGAGATGTGGTGGAGGGGGAGATTCGCATCATGGATGTGGAGCTGACAAATCTGCAGCAACTGCGTGATGCTATCATGCCAATATGAGCTTAAATCTCTGAGGAATATTTCCAGTACCTTGTTGAATTTATGCCACAAAGGATTACGACAGTTCTGAAGGTAAAAGGGGGTCCAACCTGGTACTAGTAAGATGTACCTAATAAAGTGGCCAGTGGGTGTAAAAAAAGGAATTAATCGTATGGTCCTCTTCTGTCCTAACACAGTGCACTGGAAAGCACTTTAAACTCTTTTGCTTAATTTGATGAAAAATTATCCGAAATTATCACTCTTTTTTTAAGGAAAAATAAGTGAACAAAATCCAATTAATTCAATGTTTATGTTCTTTTTTAATGGTAAATGCCAGAATATGGCAACTGATTTTGGTCTCAAAGCTCACAGTGAGAGGCTGTCAGCCAGACTGGTCTGTAAATAATACTCACTCATGCTGGTGTAACACTGGAAATGTTTCTGACTGGTTTATAATTGTTATACTAAACTAATACAGTCACTGTGACCTGTTCTTTCATCCATGCAGAGATGTTCTGATATCTGTGCAACAACTGTTGAATCATTTGTGCGATCAGATAATTACACTTTTTTTAACACATAACTATTGTCGATCATAGACTGAAAAAGAATAACTTTTAGGCTAATTGAAGTGGGTCAACGAACAGTTAGCATATTTGTTCATTCATATGAAAATGTTATATATGCATGGTTAACTTTTCGAAAAATACCAGTGAAATATTTCAATACTCATCTTCCTGCAGGTAGACTTTTGAATCAGAATATGATCGTGTTCCACTTGCAAGAAGAGGCCATATTTGAATCTCAAAAACTACATAAAAATAAAAGCAATTCAGTCTCATTTTGATTACGTACTCCTATATAAATTTCTGGAGAGCACCAAATACGTCCAAGGAGCTACGTTTTTTGCAGTTTTGGTTTTTACTAATCCACCAGAAGCCACTGTGTTCTCTTTTTCAGATCTCAAATTTCTGTCACGAGTGCCATTCTTCTCTAAACCTAACCAATAGTGTTTTGAAAAGTATCAACTGACCCACCCACCCCCTTTCCTAAACCCAACCGCAGTGTTTTAAAAAGCAATCCAGATTACCTCATTCTCACCCTGTTATTTACTTGTTTGTTCAATTTTTTAGCCCTTTTTTTCCTTTTTTTTCTGACTTTCTATTTCTATTGTTTTTCACTGGACTCTAACCCCTTTGTCACAGTCAACTCCGCTCTGCGTTTCAAGTCTTCCAACATACATGTTGAGCTACCGGACAAACTGGTTACAGCATATAAGCCAGGGGTATCCAAACTCAGTCCTGGAGAGCCTGTATCCTGGAGAGTTTAGCTATAACCCTAATGAAACACACCTGAATCAGCTAATCAAGCTCTAACTTGATATACTAGAAACTTCCTGGCAGGTATGTTGAAGCAAGTTGGAGCTAGACTCTGCTGGACACCGGCCCTCCAGGATAGAGTTTGGACACCCCTGGTATAAGCAGTCCACTTTGAGGTAAGCTATCAGGAACAAACAGGAACGGAACAGCACCATACCGCCCCATAGTGTTTGTTTTAAAGATGAAGTGCAGCCATACGTAGCTCTGGCTACATAATTCATGATTTCCAGAAATGTATACAGGGCTACAATTTCAGAATGAGCCCATGTTGAATAAAAGTCTGGGTCATGATTAGCCTTGCATAGCCAGACCTTAGACTGACAGCAGAATGTCAGTCCTGGCAGTAAGTACCCTCCTGGCAGGTGTGTTGAAGCAAGTTGGAGATAAACTCTCAAGCACACCGGCCCAGTTTGGACAACCCTACAATAGACAGATTTCACGTGGACGTCAAAAAAAAAGGGACATCGGACCTCATTTTCAGCTAAGTTAAGGAAAATTACAATAGTTAGCTAATGCTTTCTTTTCCAAACACATGTTTTAGGGTGCTTTCATACCTGTGAATTGATTCAGTTGTTCCGAAACAGGGATTAAAATTGTTACATTGTTGCTCTTTGTTCTTGGTACGGTTCGCTTTCACACGGCAAAGTTTCTAAACGGACCAAAAGAGCTAAAATAAGTCACGTTTGAGTAAACTCTTCTCACATTGGTCAGAGTTTCATGGTTTATTTTGCAGAGTCCCGCTCAGCTGTCAGTGGGATGATAGTGGTTTGGTGGGGTTTGACAAGGTGCGCGCGATGTTGTCTGAAGAGCGAGGAGGGATGCGGTGGGGAAGGGTGAGAAAGGTGCGCAACATTTTTTAGGACCGGGAGGGAGAGGCGCGACTCCTGAAACTTCCTGGAGACTTGGGATGTCTGTTGAATGACCTCCCGCCCTACTCATAATTCTCTCTTCATATAGAAGATATGGTGGTTTTACATATGCCAATTGAACCACACTAACTGGGCAAACGAGACGGGTTCCGAAACAAAAGTCTAGGTGTGAAAGCACCCTTAGAGGCATCAACGGTATTTAAGAACGTGCCCAACAGCGCTTAAATGTTAGCGGGAAATGGACTTTTAAAAAATTTAAGTATGTGGCAACACTATTACAGACAAAACAAAGGTGTGCTACAGAGGACAGCATTGTTTTATCGATCAGGGAAGCGTCCCCACAGTGTTTACCTGGTGCCATAGACTGAAACCTAGGAGGATAATAAGCGTATCACTCTTAAAGAGATTATGATTTTGTTTGATGCCTAATATGCTTTTAATTGTTTAAGTTAAACTTAACTGAACGATATTAAGGTAATGTTTACACCATATCTGCACTTTAAAATCACGGCAACAGCTTTAGGTTTGTAGTCCACAGCATGTTGTTGCAATGTTTACATTGCTGATCCTATATTTCCAGCTTTCTTCCCACCGCGGCCTTGCTTTCGTTTTTTTAAATGGTGTGAAATAAGCATATAATCTAGTGATTAGTGTGTTGACACATTGCACTAAGGTGCTCATGGCGACCTAAGGTCGATTCCTGGCTTGAGGTTCTTTGCCGATCCTTTAGTCTCTTTCTGCTCCCTATGCTTTCCTGTCTCCACTCTCCAAGAGCTGAGACACACTAAGCCGACAGTCTGCATTGGGCTTCCTTGGTCAGTGTTGGTCCAACTAGTGTGTTTGGTGTCAAATCTATATCGGGCTGATGGGTGAATAGTGCGATCTAGCTGGTTTTTCTGCAATGAATCAGAGCGCACATGTGACGAAGTGAAGTGATGTAGCAGGTAAACAAATCAAGTCAACAAGGAACACAATGATGCCTGCTGTAGTTTCAAAACATTTCTTATGTATTTGCAAACGATATGGATTATTAGATTATCACACATATTACTGTAAAGGTAACAAGTAATAATGGTACTAAATGCTGCTTTGTTTATGCTCCTGATTTTGGAAGTTCTGGATTTTATCCTTCGCCAAATACACATCCTCTTATGCAGGCGCGGGCAAACAATCGTTTTAGTCGACTGCTGTCCATTTGGTGTGTTCACAGGTAGCTTTTTTGGTCCAGATGTGAGCCGACGCAAGACCACAACGCAGTTGGGTTTAATCAGCACAGTATATCCAAAGTATATTTCGACTCCATTTAAGTTCCTCAAGCAAAACTCTGGGACTTATTATGACACGACATACATAGTCTTAAGAATCCTGCTTAAAAAAATCTTTATTAATGTGCATTGTCATCAATATAAACATCACAGCTTTTTTTATTAGTCAGACCTGTTTCCAGACAGGCTGATTAAGACTGCTTCACATTCGGCTTCTAGAAATCATGTATATTTAAACCAATCAGAGGACAACTTCAATTTTGCTGAAGTCTTGCCAAAAAAGAGTGGCATATACATCTGATGTTTAACCACGGGTCTTTGGGTGGTGCTTTGGCATGTTGTCTAATTTTCAGACTAGGTCAGCATGCATATTGTCAAAAACATAAAATATGCCAGCAATGGTTGCATATTAGTTAAGTCAAGTTAGTTTTATATTTAAAGCTCTATTTACAAAGTAGACTCTCTCAATACCACTTTACATAGATAAAAAAAAGTAAAATCCTTACCAATATTTCAGATTATAGAACGTACTCAGCATATCAAGCATGCAGCAAGGTAGTGTTAGAACGCTGGTGGAATTCTATTTAAATTAAAACTGATACAGTTCAGTTTGAAACAAATGTCACTGTTTATGTAGAGCAGCTCCACCGAATCCAACCAAGCAAGCCAGAGGCGACAGTGGCTAGGACCTAAAACTTAAAGTTGTGCAAAAATTACACCATCATCATTAAAATCAGCTCAGACATGTGATTATCTTTCTTTTCTGTGTTGCCACAGGTGAGGTGTATGACGCTGTTTGTGACCCACTACCCTCCTTTGTGCGAACTGGAGCATTTGTACCCACAGCATGTGGGGAATTACCACATGGCTTTCCTGCTCAATGAGCCGGAGAGCACTTCTGATGGTATGTATGCATACATCTACCTGTTCACATTCATAGTCAGTTAAATTATCTTTTAGAGTTAAGAATAGGCTACATACTGTATTAGCCTAACCCTTACTCAAATATATTATTCACACTCACATGTTATTAGATTGGGCTTCATATTCCTAATTAAACTATTGTTTAATAGTGTGGAATCAGGCTTATAAGATTTATTTACAGGCATTTTTAAGTTTTTAATGTCTTTTGAGGTGTTTATTAAATCAGTAATGCAATAAATAGAGGAAGAAACACAGAAAAAAAATCTTCATTTTTTTATTCTAGTCTTATTTAATGTATTTTAAATTGTAATTAATTCAAATTATTAAGGTAGCAGCAGTAATTTACTTTGATAACAATATGTTTCTTAAACAGCTAATCATCATAAAAATCCAAAATCAAACAAAAAAGTGCTCAGGGGTAGTTTAAATAATGTGTTGGTGCACTTTGGGTAAGGAATTCATCAGATTAAACAGCAAAAGTCAGTCCAAGGCACTCGAAAAATGTGGAAAAAGTTTTAAAGTTTTTATTAACATGGCTATCCTTGTTACCCTGATGAAGGTATCCTGAGACACTAAAGACTGCAGTAATGTATCTCAAAATTCAGCTGTAATTGTGAGGATTAAATACATTTAATCACATAGAAAACATTTATTTTACATTTAAATACAATTTAGCAGTATTACTGTTTATATTGTAGTTTTGATGAAATAAATGCACCATTCATTAGCAGAAAACAAATTTCAATATATGTTTTCAAACGTTTGACCTGCAGTGTTTATACATATCAGGCCCATATAGCTAGGGAGGGTTTAGGTGTTTCGAAGGACCAACCCCCCTCCTAACAAAGTCCAGAATTTGGCCCCTACATGAGCTCATCTGTCCCATTTTTGACAGTATGCCATCGTAAATTCGTGGCTTTAGGAAGAATAACCAATAAAATAACCAATAAAAGAAGGCTTTTATTATTTAAATGGGCAAATTCTGACAGAGAAAATGAGCTGGTCAGTTAGTTTTTTGCCTACAAGCTAACGTTTTTATTTTTGTTTGTTTGTTTGTTTGTTTTTTATGATGGATGATAATAAATTACCATTTAAAAATAAGTATTTTTCATATTTTTAAAATTATAATCTCATTACTTTATATATAAAACTGTAATAACTTACCGTTTAAATGCACATTTGGAAATAAACATAAATGTTTGTAAACTAAAAATAGTATGATAAGCAGTTTGACAAAAATGTGAGAAGTATTTCTAACCCAGTGGTTAGTGTGTTGTAGGGATGCAACAATACAGTTAGCCTACAGTTCAATACATACCTTGTTTTTTTTTTACATGGTGTTCAGTTTGGTTCTCATGTCTTGACATGTGTTTGGTTTTTATTCTATAGGCAATAGCAACAGTAATAAGTTGAGAAAAAAATTAAAACAATTTATTGTAATACTCCTTTTGTTTTACTTAAAAGCCAAGAAAAATACATTAGTTCCTAGTGTATTATATAAAAAGAAAATTAACATTGAAATCTGTGGTCAATCAGCTGTTGGTAGCCTATGTACAAACTGGGGAACACACACTTTCCTACATTTTGAAAATAAACATAAATGTAAAGTTAATAAAGATAAATTGGCCTTTTCAAATAAACATATTTGTACTTAAGTAAACATAAATAAACCATCTTAATTATCTCCGTGCTGAAAAAAAGTGTGAGGTGGTAGTCTGTAACGCAGATCGAGTGCTTTTATAAGATGACAAAAGTCTGCATCTCCAATCACCGAAAACGGCTGCAAATCTCTAGCAATAAACACCTGCACTGCCTTTGTTATTTTTATGTGTCTCTCGGAACCAGTTGGGTATGTTTGCTGAAAGGATTCAGTAGGGATTTTTGCTTTTTGGAGGACTTTATTACCTTCTCTGCTACCCTGCATTTAGACAGTGATATTGGTTATACACGTGTAAAACAATTCTTGCACACAGTTATGATTTGTTCACCATTGTTTCTTTCATTGGCATTATACTTACCGGCAAAACCGAAATGTCCTCACACCGCAGATTTGAAAGATGCCGGCAATTCCTTGTACTGTTGCCTCACTTCGCCGCCGCTTGCCATGTTAAAGTGTGGAATGTTGGTTAAGCACCCCCTATCTTTAAAGCATAGTGATTGACGAACGGGGAGGAGTTCATAGACTTACAGGCACACACAAAAAGTCAATCCGGAGAGATAAAAAACACACATAATTTATTTAAACGTAAAACGGAGAAAACCACAATTCACAAGCGCATATTGAACCATAGATGTCGTACCGAACGGTTCAATATTACATTGAGAATCGTGGCGCCTCTTGTGTGTTGACATATGGTGTATAATGCTCCGGGCAACCCTAGTTTGAATCCCGGCTCGTGGACCTTTCTCTCATTTCACTTTCTGTCAACCTACTGGCCTGTCAAATACAGGCAAAAATGCCAAAAATCATTCTTTAAAAAAATAAGGTGTGGTAATGATAACCATCCAACAAGCTACAACAGCACAAATTAATGCTTAAAATGTCACTAAAATGCAGCATTTGAACCTTGAATAACTGCAAATATGTTAACTTTGTGAGATAAAAGAACCACCCCTTATAATAGGCTGGCTATGGGCCTGCATGTATTTAGTATTTTTTTTTTTTTTTGTAGCTTTTCATGATGTTTGATCAATATTTATGTATTGCTTAATATGTTGTTTTCAATCCGGAAAACCATATTTTTCAAGTTAATAGCATAATGGTGCACATTACACAAGCACTGGAAACACACTGAACACAGAGCTTTAAGTCCAAATAAAGACCATCTGTGTCCTTTAAAGATGTTAGTTTTGAGTCTACATCATATTTATGTTTCAGAGAAACTTTTTAATGTAACAATAACGTTCATTTATAGTATGATTTTTTTTTTGTGATGATTTGAGTTACTGTTGATGTTTGTCAGCTGGAACCAGTCTGGCCATTCTCCTCTGACCTCTGGCATCAACAAGGCATTTGCGCCCACAGAAATGCCGCTCACTAAATATTTTCTGTTTTTCGGACCATTCTCTGTAAACCCTAGAGATGGTTGTGCATGTAAATCCCATTAGATCAGCAGTTTCTGAAATAAACTGACCAACCTTTCTGGGACCAACAACCATGTCACATTCAAAGTCACTTTCAAAATCAGCCTTCTTCCCCATTCTGATGCTCGATTTTGTACATGATCTTTCCTAGAATTTCACCATTTTTTAACTCAATATAAAACACAATGTAAAGAACTTTTTAAGTCATATACTTTTGCACTGGAACCAAACATTGTAACATTTTATAAATTTGTAATCTTTCAAAACCTTATTGTAAGTTGCACGAAGCTGTCATTCTGAGATAAGGATTATAATTTCCCCTATTTTGTTGTAGTTATGGCACTGTTCCCCTTCTTGTGTTTTTATAATACAGCATATGCATCCTTGAACTTGATGTATTGCTCTTAACTGCAATCCATCATCATTACTGATCTTGACTTTCTTGATAATGAACGCAGCACGTTATTAACTTAATCTTGATGTCATCTGAGAAAGCCATTAGCGTCTGGATCATGGAATGAGGAGTGCATTGTCTAGAAGTATGCTGGTTATGATAGCCTTTGAACCAGGTACTTTACTGTTGTACTGTATGTGAGCTGAGTCATCCGGGATTTCATGGATCACTTACTCATTTGTGTTATCTTTGCATTGACCTTAAGCTGCTTGAGTGATCAACGAGTGTGGCACACTTTCTTGCACTGTCTGTTAGTCAGTCCACCTGCTGACATTTTTTGTCTGTAAGAATAATGCTGTCCAATATGGGGCTATTTTATTTCGTTTTATTTTTTATTTTTTGTTTATTATTATTATTATTATTATTATTATTATTATTATTATTATTATTATTTAATAATAATAATATGAAATATTATAATATTTTTTATTTTATTATTTTTTTTTATATTTTTTTATATTTTATTTTTTATTTTAATTTAAATTTAGTTTTCATTTTATTTTATTTAATATTTTATTTAATATTTTATTTTTTAATTGTATTGTACATTTATTTCAAATTAATTTTATTTTATGTTTTTCTAGTTTTTATTTATTTTTATAATTTGTTTAATTTTATTTTTAATGTAATTTTATATTTTATTTATATTGTTTTATTTTATATCTTTACTTATTATATTTTTATTTATTTTTTATTTTGTTTTATTTTATTTTTATCATATATTTTTTTATATTTTAGTATTTTATGTTATTTAAGTTTTTATTTTTAATTTCATTTAATTAAATTTTTATATTTTATTTATTTTATTTTAGACCAAATCACATTTTATTTATTTTGTTTATTTTTTCTTATTAGCGTTTATCTTAAAAGCTTTAATTTTATTCTAGACATAAAAAAAGCAAATGTCACTTTTAAATGTGTTTGAAGGCCATATTTAATTGCATTTGCTCCCTGACTCTCATTTAATTTGCTGGAGGTTTTTTTTTTTTTTTTTTGACAATTTTCTTCTATCAGGTCGGCGTTGTTTTGATATGTGTTAAAGCAATAGTTCACCCAAAAATTAAAAATATGTCAATTATTCATCATCTTATTCATCATTATTTATCATCTTGTAAACCCAAAAGAATTTTTGAAATGCCCAAAAAGTATTGAATAGAAATAGAGATATATATTTTTGCTGTGCCAGTTAAAGGGTTCAGTACATGTGAAGTGATAGCATTACTTTATTTAATAAACAGACATCATTTCATTCAGATACAAAATCACTGGTAAACAAAGAAGATTAAAAGGGGTAGTTCATCCTAAAACAAAATCTGTCATTATTTTCTTGCTCTTCAATTGTTCAAAAGAGTTTTTTAAGGGTCTTCTTTTGAACACATAAGAGGTTATTTCGAAGAATAATGGTTCCCTCATTTGGACCCCATTTTCCTATTACAAAAGTCACTTGGTACCCTTTGTTCTAGTAATTCAAACACAACCTTTCATGTTTATTGCCGTAAATATGATGTAGTCTGTACAGTATATGTGACCCTGGACCACAACGTCAGTCTTACAGTATGTTGCATGGGTATATTTTTGGCTATGCATTGTATTAGTCACAATTATTATTATAATTATTGTTTTTAGTGCCAAAAATCACTAGAAGTTTAAATAAAGATCATAATCTATTTAGATATTTCATGAATTTGTAAAATTGTAAAATCTATCAAAACTACTAATCGCATCAATTAGAGACAGCTTTAAAGGTGATTTTTCACCCTTTTTTAAATTTGACAAACAATACATCAGTGGGAAGCTTTTTTATTTAACTTTCATGTGGTGAATTAATCTGAAGTTCTATTATGACTGCTTGTGTTGTACAGGGCCACATATTTATGTTAATACTGTATGTGAAGAAAAAGCCTACATTTAATTTGGCCATCATAGACAGTGATCAAACAAGATTGTAATTTCATTTTCAAATGCAAGTTTGATATTCAGGAAACTGGAAACGGCTGAATCAGTCACTATAGAATATGAGTGATATTCCTCATTCTCGTCTTTATGTGTGCAATTGATTTGGGAATCAGCTGTGTAGTGTATTTCATAATCTGCGTATGACCTCAGGCAGTGACAGGTCAACAGATCATGTGTTTGTGGTAGTGTTCAGGAGAAGATAGCATTGGAAGAGAAGCCAGAGGAAAAGTTTTTAATAATGATTTAAATAAGGAATAATACATTTTTGAAAAGACTAACACTTTTACCATGCTTGATACATGTTTGTTTATGTAAAACATTTTTCAGCTTTTGCTGAAGCATGTAGGTAGCGGTTTTTATATTTATGTAGAAAAAATATATATTTGTAACATTTTAAATTTTAAATCTTATATGTAAAGATATTTGTGTATCGGTGTATATCCTGTGTGTATTTAGCAATGTGTAAGCATTTTGGACCTGCATAGGTGCATAACTAATGTGCTCTGTGGTGGACTTTAGACCATTTTTTTAAAATTAATTTATTTATTTTTTGGTCAATAGCACAGTCTATTTAAGTTTCTCAGAATATTAACGCAGCAACAATGCACCTTAACACACCCACTTTATAGACCAGCACACCCAAAAGTCCACAAAGTGGCGTAAATGGATTTGCTATTAAACATCGTGGTGAAAAACGTGAAAATTTTGAGTTGCGCTGGTCTGAAAATAGCAACAAATCAGGCCAAACACGTCATATGCCTTATTGCACTGCATGTATTACAGGGCCCTAAGGAAATTATTTATCTTATTAGGTTTTACAAATTTAAGTTTTAAAACATTAAACCATTAAGCCCAGCCCCAAGAATTGTGTTGTTTCAGCTCATTTAAAATAAGCAGTTTGAACAAACTGAGTGAACTATTTGGATCGTGTCAGTAAATTATAACAGCAAAGTAAATTTTTTGTTTGAACAATGCCTTTAATGTGCCTATTTTAATAATGTCTTTTTTTCTGCTTTTAATTCTATGGTGGATTGTAAGGTGGTAGAAATAAAGTTTCTTTTTATTTTAAACTTTGAAGTAACTTCTTATGATACAGTATAAGTTGATTACGAAATATGAAAACAGCTGCTATAGAAAACCAATGGGCACCTTGGAGTAGCTTTTGACCAATTGAAGTTAAGCATTCTGCAGTTCTGTGATATATATATATATATATATATATATATATATATATATATATATATATATATAAAACATTCTGTAAACAAAATTCTGCTATATCTGAAATCCATGAAACAGTGTTGCAAGAGCCAGGTAGTGGTTACTTAACAACTGGCTTGTGTGCATGGCAGTAATCTTATTGCATAAGTCCTCTTTGCTATGCCGTTCTGTCATTTGGCTCTCCAGCACTGAAAATTTGTTCTTAAATCACATCCACATTCCGAGATACTTTCTGAAAATCAGAACTCAACTTGGTTCACTCACGGTTCATGTCTTTCTTCTTTCTGACTTTTTTTGTTCTCTGCACTTAATATTCTGTGCCATACTGAAAAGGGAATCAAGTCTATGACAGAAGCTCAGAGAAATATTGGGAGAAATGGCTTACAATATTCATAAATCAGGTTAATAATAAATCTGTGGTTACTGTCACACCATGACACAGGAACAGATTTTTTTATGAAAACTGAAAAACTGTCATGTATTGAAAAAGTTATAAGGGAAAACTCATTTTATGCATTATAATGTTCATCATTGATGCATTACTCTTTTCCAGACATATCTATTTCCTTAATCATTATACTAATATGAAGGTTGGTGCTATTAATTCTTATGTACTGTTGGGGATGTTTTTATCCGCTCTGGAATGAATTTGTGTCTTAATTTGGCCACATCCTTTGTGTAAGCAGAACAATTTTCGGAGACAAATCTGATTTTGACACATATTTTCAGAAAATGCTTTGAAATTTTTATAGAACTTGACGACACACTGTGGTTAAATTTACTCCTCCTTTGTTATGTTTGGGATGAAAACTAAATTAAACTGCTGTTAAAAAATGCATTAGATAAATATTTTTCTTCATTTTCTTTGCATAAATCATTTAATCAACCTCAGTCCTAATAAAAACTACTAATTTTTTTTTTAGAAAATGTCAGGATTTTAACTCTTTAATTGGCAGTTTCATAAATGATGTAACAGGTTTGGTGACAAACACATACAAAATAACAGATTTTCAATATAAAAAGTAATTTTTTAAAACCTTTTATTAAAGTCTTGTGGAAAAGCATTGCCTTTAATGCATTGTTTTTGATTGATTTTCATTTTTTCCTCCCTTATTTACTGTTGGTGGCTGTTTTTGCCCCATTGAATTCCATTATAACCACATTTAATTTTGATCTAATTTTGATTGCAAAGCCATGACACCATATAACCATGCATTTTTGATTGTTAGTGGCCCTTCCTGTTGGGAAGAAGCAAAACGTGTTATTTTTTATTGTTGATAATCAGTTGGGACCATAAACCTTTAGATATATGGGGTATAGCAGTAAATTAAAGTGTGCATATGTCTGTAAGTGTGTGAGAGTGACCTTTACGCACTTTCCTTGTTGTGTCTGAGAAAATAAAATTATGCATCTCAGCTTTCAGAACTACATGGAATAAATTAAAACAGAGACTATAGGCTCTATTTAGACGATCCATACACAAAGTGCAAACCGCAGGGCGCAAACGCATTAAGGGCATGTCAGAATCCACTTTTGCTAATATAAGGATAGAAAAATCCGCTTTGTGCCGTGGCGCATGGTCTAAAAGGGTTGAGCTTATTCTTTTTAATGAGTTTTAGGTGTATTTTGAGAATAAACCAATCAGAGTCTCATCTCCCATTCCCTTTAAGAGTCAGTTGCGTCTGACTGTAGCGCATTTGCTATTTACATTGACAGACTTTGTAAGTGGAAAAACTGAACCCTTCACTGGAGAGAAAACAGTTAAACAGAGCATCTACAGCATGAGAGTAATAGATGAGCCTCCTCATTGTTTACTTTCGCTTTCACTCTCGTGGATAGGAAAACTTCTTGTACGCACAGACATCCATTAGCCTATAAATAATTAATTTTGTTTGTTCAGCGCAACAATTGGTTTCAAAACTATTTCTAAATTCAGTTCTAATTTCCAGCAAACGAATAAATGAACAATAATAACGAAGTGTGGTCAAAAACCTGAGTTATATCCAAATGCACATGCTGTGCCGCATATGGTCTAAAACCTGACAGGTGGACAAATCTAAGCTTGTTTTTAATAAAACAAATATAAATCTGCATATAATAAATATTACTGCTAATAATAATAACATTATACAAAAGCAAATTTTAACGAATAAACTGAAAAAGCCCCTGGAGATGAAAAAGGCATGAAAGTGGCTTTTATATTTATGTAGGCAAAAAAATTATGTTTTGTAATATTTTAATCCTTTATAATTATATCCTATATATATCCTTATTATATCCTATATATATCCTTAATATTTTTATTCTTTTTCATATGTAAAGAAGTTTGCGCATTGCTGTACATCCTGTTTGTATTGAGCAATGTGTAAGCGAGGCGCATAACTAACCTGCTCTGCGCTGGACAATAGACCAGCTTTGATCTGGCCTATAGAACAGGCTATTAAAGTTTCTTAAAAGAGCAATGCGCCAGCAATGCACCTCAACAGGCCTCCTTTTTTAGACTGGAATGCCTATGGGTGCACATATGAGCGCAAATGCATTTGCTATTTAAACAGCAAAACTAGAAATCAAACCCAGGTGTGTCTGATTGGGGTTGGAACTAAATTTTGCAGGACACCGCCCCTCCAGGACTGAGTTTGATACCCCTGCTCTAAGGTGTGCAGTTGTTTTTTGGCAGCATGATTTAGTTCCTAAAATAGTTCCAGGCATTGTTTATTACTAATTCAATCACTTTTCCTTGGTTATTTTTGCATAAAAATATGCTAAACAATGTATTGTTTATATATTGTACAACTTTTATCTATATAAAAACCATAAAATAAGTGTTTTTTTTGCAAATGCAAAATAGAATGGTCTCCTATTGGACAGTAAGCAGCAGAACTACCATGGACATAGTTTTTTTTCCATTCATTTTCTTTTCAAAACCTTCTCTTGATTCAGAGTACATGCTCTGATCATTACTTTTTAAAGTGTTTAATACTGTATCTCTGTTGCTTTTATTTCTAGAGGAGGAGGCTCAGCCAGAGTTCATCACATTTCTCTATCAGCTGATTGAAGGCGCAGCCGCCAGGAGCTACGGGCTAAATGTAGCGCGTCTGGCTGAAATCCCAGAGTCCATCCTGAGGACTGCTGCATTCAAATCCAAGGAGTTGGAGGCTCTCGTGAACAGCCGGAGGTACGTGGGCAGATTGGTTACACAATGGAAGAAGAACACTGTAGTAATTTTGTATTGTGGAGGAACTTCGTTCAGAACAAATTTCTAACTTTTACCAGGTGTTATTGTGTTTAAGGTCTTTGTTTGCAAAAATATTGCGTAGACTAGCATTTTCACATGGTGCATATTTGATTATAGTTATTATCAGTGCAAGATCTTGAGCTAAAAAGCTTTTAAATGTGTGTTGTTTTTGAAAAGAGCAGATTTTTCAAACACATTTTTATGCATAATAGTTTTAATAACTCACCTCTAATAACTGATTTATTTTATCTTTGTTATGATGACAGTAAACAATGTTTTACTAGATATTTTTTGAGACATTTAAAGGCTTACCTAGGTTAACTAGGCAGAGAGTAATTAGGCAAGTTATTGTTTATTCTGTTGATAGTCGGAAAAAAAAAAATTAGCTTGAAGGGGCTAATAATTTTGTCCTTAAAATAGTGTTTCAAAAATTAATAACTGCATTTATTCTAGCCGAAATAAAACAAATAAGACTTTCTCCAGAAGAAAAAATACGATCAGCCATACTGTGAAAAAGTCCATGCCCTGTTAAACATCATTTGGGAAATATTTCAAAAAGAAGACAAAATTCAAAGGGGGGGCTAATAATTCTGACTTCAACTGTATGTATATGCTTGTATGTGTATATATATATGCATATATAAGTTGCAACAATTTCATTTTCATTTCTTTTTTTCACATCGTCATTATGGGGTATTGTGTGTGGAATTTTGAGGGAATAAATTAATTTATTCCATTTTGAACAAAAAAAATTTGAAAAAAAAGGAAACCCTATGAATACTTTTCGGATGGACTGTATATTAAGTGGCCTTAACTACAAGGCATTTGCATCAAAATATAAGTACAATGTACATATTGTGTTCATAATGTAATGCAGAACACTGGTGTTCTCCTTAGGTGGGATACGTGTAGGGTTAGGGACAGGTTTAGTGATATGGGTAGGTTTAAGGGTGGATAAAGATGTAAAGGCTGGTCAACAGTGTAATTACAGAAATTACAGATGTAATTGCATGTACAGTAGGTATTTAATCAAGCTTAAGTACATTATAAAAATGTTTGAGTTTAAGGTATCATTGTTACAGTGTAACTATTCATTTAACTACTGAGTTGTATTATGCCACTTTTCCACTGCATTGTATGGCATTGTTCCAGCTAGTACCTGCTAGTACCACCTTGAGTGAGGTACCAATAACAAATGTGTTGTTTACACACTGATGATGATTGTCTGGTCAGAGGGAATCATTAGATTTGCGACATGACACACTAATTCCACTATATATTAAATAGTAATAGTTAAAAAAGTGTTGTTAGATTACACAATGAAAAAAAACCTCTGAAATAGCAACGTTGTGGTCAGTAGAGGAGGTTTAGATATTACTCTTGTTGGTGGCTGAGAAACAGATTCTGTGAGAGTGGGATGAGAAGACCTGGAATGAAAATGTTTTCAGGACATCATGGCAGTAGAGGCAGTGCACACTATAGCAAATAATCCCACCCACATAAAACGGTACTAAACTGCAATGGATATGCAAACAGTCGAGTAAAACTGAACCGAAGCAAGCAGAGTCATGGCAAACTGTACCGTCCAAAAATGGCTTTGTATTATTACATGCACTTAATATATTTTTAGGTTTTTTCCACAGTCCAAAGACATGCAATACAGGTGAATTGGGTAGGCTAAATTGTCTGTAGTGAATGAGTGTCTGTGGATGTTTCCCAGAGATGGGTTGCGGCTGGAAGGGCATCCGCTGAGTAAATACATGCTAGATAATTTGGTGGTTCATTCCGCTGTGGTGGCCCCTGATTAATAAAGGGACTAAGCCGAAAAGAAAATGAATAAATGAATGAATAATATATTTTTAGGGTTAGAATGCTGGTTAGATTTAAAGTTAGCTGCATATAATTATGGATCATTATTAGAACATGGAGCTATATACTATGGTATATACAGTATAGTACATGGAATGTGTAACAACATTAAAGAAAGTGTTAGCCTGCTTTGGTTCAGTTTTTGTTTAAAAAAATAAGTTGAATTAATAAGGCCTCAGGGTGGCGCAGTGGGTAGAAAGATCACCTCACAGCAAAAAGGTTGCTGCTGGTTTAAGCCTCAAGTGGGTCAGTTGGCATTTCTGTGTGGAGTTTGCATGTTCTCCCATGTTCGCGTAGGTTTCCTCATGGTGTTCCGGTTTCCCCCACAGTCCAAATACATGCACCATAGGTGAATTGAATAAGCTAAATTGGCTGTATTGTATGAGTGTGAATGCAAGAGTTTATGGGTGTTTCCTTAATTTCCTCTATATTTAGAAATAGTTTTGAAACAAATCTTTGAGCTTAACAAACTAAATTAATTATGTACAGGTTAATGGATGTCTGTGCGCACAACACCTTTGAGTGAAAGTGAACACCAGACACACCAGAATGAAAGTGAAAATAAATAATGAGGAGGCTCATCTCTCATTCTCACGCTGTAGATGCTCTGTTTAGCTGTTTTATTGGTAGTGAAGCGCTCAGTTTTTCCACTTACAAAGTCCGTCATGTAAATTGCGAATGCACCACAGAATGCACGCAGCGCGACACAACTGACTCTTAAAGGGATTGGGAGATGAGACTCTGATTGGTTTATTCTTAAAACACACCTATAACTCATTAAGAGAATAAGCTCAACCCTTTTAGACCATGTGCCACGGCGCAAGGTGGATTTGTCCGTCCTTAAAATAGCAAAAGTGGATTCTGACACGCCCTAAATGCGTTTGCGCCCTGCGCTTTGGACTTTGTGCATGGATCATCAAAATAGAGCCCTTAAAATCACTCCAGAGTGGATGAAATAGTCCCCAACAGCACACAAAGGTTAAGGAGAAGGAGAAAGGAGAAAGTTTTAGATTGTGCAAACAATTTAGAGCCATTGTTTTTTTTCTTTTTTCCAAAGTGCATAATGAAGTATAAGTCTAAAGTGTCCGTGCATTCTTGTATGTACCTGAGCAAAAATGTCTTGCTTGATTTGACTACATTATTACGATACATTATTTATTAAGATATTTACTTTGAATGATGTTTAAATCGTTTTTGTCATTTCTGCATTTGTGTATTATATGTAACATGATATCATTTCCCTCTCTCTCTCAAAACTTCTGTAGGAAAATGGTGAGACTGTTATCTGATGCCTGGAGTATCATCGACACGGAAACACTGCTGGACTGGAGAAAGCGTAGTCATTAATAATAGCATGTTGGTACTGTAATTGCCTATAGGATGATGCAAAAAAACATTCAAACCATGTATTTAAATAGAGTACTCCATATACACTGTAAAAAATATCTGGTAATGAACTGTTTCTGTATTTTGTTTGTGTTTGTGAATTGTATTATGGGACCTTGATCGACTTTTGATGTTGAAAATTCATGATAATTCATGTTTATAAAAGTCAGTTTTTCTAAATGTTTAAGGTTAAAAGTTGTTGGAAGAAAGATCAAGGTCCCATTATGCAATTCAAAAGCATTAATAAACAGGGAAAAATGAAATCATGAACCACAAAATGCGAAAAACTGCTCATTTATGGATATTTTTTCAACAGGATCTGTTTTAGCTTTACACGAAAACAAGACAACTTGTAACTTTTAATGTGTTGTCTTTGTATAGATACTTGCAGTATATCAAGGTACTTTGAACAGAACATTTTCTGAAGATGTGCTTTATTTGTATCTGTTTGGCAAAAGAACAAAATGATGCATTTTTTCAAAGATTGTAAGTGTAACATGTTATTTACATTGATTAAATTGTAAATCAAAGATCACCATTGTAACATTTTGTTGTCATTTACTTACACTCGTTTATACCTTAATGTCTTTGAACAACAAAAGAAGATACTTTGTATAATGTTTATGTCAAGAGTTTTGGTAACCATTGACAGTAATTTCATTTTTGGGTGAACTCTTTAGGTTTCCTCAGTAATCTTATTGTCCTTAAGAGCTGCTGTCTGAGGTGAGTGATGATGAGTCTTCATACAAGCTGAAGCAGTCAGACAGAAAAGATTAACGCCTCCATTGTCTTTCTCTCATACTTAGATTTGCATCGATTTTTATGAGACCAAGGTTTACTTTAATAACATTATTCGAATTGCCATTACAGTGAGAACTTTTTGGTATGTTGCATTTTATTAAGCAAACCGACTTTCAAGAATTTTTACATTTCATTTTTTATTGGTTCTTTACAACATGCAACATATTAGTTATCATAACATTTATCATAACAAAATCTTAAAATGTGAAAAAGTTACAAATGGAAGGAAACTGAGTACTTTGCAATGAATGAGAGGTTTATGTTTATTTTTAATGACAGGACAGCCTGTACAGAACATGCTGCTTTGGTAGCCACTGTTTTGTTCACATACTTGTACTGTAGACCTGTAGTTGATATATTTCTTGTGACGTGACATGTATTTACCAGGAAAATTTGCTTAAAGGGGTATTTCACCCAAAAATGATTGTTGATAATTATGATTAATATTTACTTTCCCTCAAGTAGTTCCAAACTTTTATGAGTTTTTTTCTTCTGTTGAACACAGATTTTTTAAGAAAGCTGAAAACTTGTAAGCATTGACTTCCACAGAAAGCAGATACTATACAAGAGAATGCATGCAGGCTTTCAGCATTCTTCAGAATATCTTATTATGTTTTTTAACAGAAGAATGAAACTGATAAACATTTGACACAAGTAAATGATGATATAATTTTCAGTTTTGGGTGAACTATCCTTTTAATATGGCACAGTGACTAATAACAGGTAAAGTATTGTTCAATCTTAACTTGAAAATGAATGTTTGAAAATACTAATAAAAAAAACTTTTTGCTAAAATGACATTTTGTTTATTTTATGGTCTAAATGGCAATATACTGTCATTATGTGTTTGAGTATAAAGTTATTTTAAGTTTTATTCTGTGAATTACCAATCAACGACAAATCAAATACCTACCACTGTTTAAACCTTAACAGACTCAATATTTCATTAATTAATGCTTATTATCAACCACAGCAACTAAAAAAAAATTGTTATTCTGATTAAATTCTATTTTTTAAAACAAACTAATACCAAAGAGCATAGAATCACCAAGAGGCGACACTCTAGTGCGATTTGGGAAACTACGCCACTAGATGCCGCGGTGGCCATTTTGGAAGGAAAGTTCCAATAGAAAAACAGGATATTATAAGCAAAGAGCTTAGAATGACCAAGAGGCGACACTCAATAGAATAATCTATACAACACTAATAATACAATAATACAACACTTACTATCACAGTCATCAGCTCTTTTAATAGTTTATTTTACAGACTTATAATATGCTGCTGTTCTATTGAAGTTTTCATTCCAAAATGGCCGCCGCGGCATCTAGTGGCTGTTTTCCAAATCACACTAGAGTGTCGCCTCTTGGTGATTCTGTGCCCTTTGTTAGTCTGTAAAATAAACTAAAAGTGCTGATGAAGGCGGGGCTTCATTCGCCATATTGACAGTTACACTTTTTTCCATTCAAAGTATATGGGTGACAAGTTTTGTGTATTAAATAAGCTGTGTCTCATTTCAGACTTCAAAGGTGAGTCTTTCGAAGTCCTCACAGGCTAAACCGAGCATTTTGAAATGAGACGTTCGCCTGAAGAGGACAGATCTAGTCACCAGGCAACCGTAACAGCTGCTGTTAATAAGCGCTGAAAAAATTTGTAATGACTTTTTTAAAAGTGATTTTTAAAACTTATTTTAAACGATCTGAAGGCAAAACAAGGTATACAGAAGCTGGAAATATATTTCCTTTGATCCATACATGTACACATATAAACACATGTAAACTGTCTTTTAAATCCCTCTTTAGTAAGACATGTCATACTCTTATTGTTTTTTCAACGTGTTTAGCTATCCAAGTAAAATAAACCGAACTCATACCGGAGTTTTCTTTAAAAGCATCCTGCCGTTATCAGCGCGCAATGAATCTTAGGACTTTTGAGGCCTTGAAGGATCCACAGTTGTGTCTTTCATTACCTGGGAAATGAAGGGCGCATTTGGAGGCTGCATTTGAAAGAACCTTCGAATTATTGTGAAATGAGACAGCCTTCGTCCCGCCATGATGACGCAGCGCACTTCAAATGCATGCTTCAGAGGATGCAGCATCTGAAATGAGACACAGCTTTAGTCCTTGCTAATACATAATGCAAACAAAGGCCCCACTTTATATTAAGTGGCCTCAACTTATATGCACTTGCATTGAAATTAATAATTTGTTACAATGTACCTATTGTGTAAATACAGGTTTTTACTTTGCACTTATCATTGATTAAATACCTGCATGTTAATACATTTGTAATTAGTTTATGTTATTACATTTATAATAGACGCTTTTCACATTTCTGCATTTTTCAGCAGCAGAAGTCGTCATAGTTGAGGAAATTCACTGTGCAGTGAATGGGGAAGTACAACAGGTGTTATCAAGACTTCCAGAAAAAGAGGAAAAAAGTGAGAGACTGATGACAGCAGCCAGAGAGAATATCGTCAAATTTATTGTCAGCCCCATAGATGCTGCATTAGAAATGCCTTGCACAAGCAGTAATTCACTTTTTGTAATTTGAAGCAAAGATGGTAGAATACATTCATAAATACATCAATATGTTCATATGTTTTTTTTATCAAAACATTAAAGCATTTAACATGCTGATAACTGTTAAATGCCTCATAACAGTCTTGTGAAAAGGGTCCATAACACCCTTATTAAAAAAGGGCCCTTAAACCCATACCACCAAATCAGCCCCTAATCCCACCCATTTCCCAACTCAATAGCACAGAAAGCACTCTGCTGTACATTATGAATAAATTAAGTAATATTGTATTTATATGATGTAAGTACATAGTAGTTAAGAACACTTAATATAAAGTGGGATCCAAAGAAATGATTATGAAATTGATCTAAATGTTTTTTATTTCTATTTGTTACATTTTTATTAGTCCTTTATAAAATAAAACAGTATTAAGATTATATCGAAATACTTAATAAATCTAGAAATTCTCCAAATTTAGAGAATCTGAAAATGTTCAACTAGTCTCATTTAATGAATAGCCTAAAACAAACTATTTTTTAAATGAAAAAATGCATACCTATCGCATCTGTTTTGTGTTAAGTAATATGAAATTACAAAGATGTATTAACAGTGCTACGTTACTGTAACTTTTGCAACAACAGAGGTTGTGATGACAAATTTGACAGTTTGAATTTGGTTTCCCTTTGTGAATTGAAGTCATTTACATGGCTTTAACCTGGCTTGCTAATGTAAATTGGACCTGTCAGCTCGTCGCTCCGCCCCCTCATTAAGATCTTATCATAGTCCCGCCCCTTATTAGACTTTCCTCCAGCGCTGTCGACCTGCCCACTCATTAAAAGCTGCGCTCAGCTACAAGGGAAAGTGAATCTCCATGCGAGAGAGAAAGAGAGAGAGGCGCTGTCTCTTTAAGAGGATGCCAAAGCCGATTACATCTGATCTCAACAGTGATTCTGTCTCACCGTCTGTCCACTACTACTGCTTATTTTGCAGTACGCTTTGACTGACAGCGTTATATATCGGGGTTAAAACTTTTTTTCCGCTCAGAATGGATTGGGCACCGAACTCGTTTGGATGAGTCGCGTATGAGCGGTGCGCTTCACCTCGGCAACTTTCTCCTGCGCATTTCTCCAAGCAGCCTAGGTGGAAAGTTAAAATCGCATGGGATATGGTGACAAACAAGTGAACATACATTAAACCAAGACGGAAAATGCAGAAGAGTGTTCGGTACAATGAGGGACACGCTTTGTTTCTCTCCGTTATCGCGCGTAAAGAGGGCACCAAGCGAGGCTATCTCAGCAAGAAGACCACGGAAAACAGCAAATGGCACGAGAAGTTTTTTGCACTTTATCAGAATGTTTTGTTTTACTTCGACACCGACCAAAGTGCTCGACCATCAGGGATTTATCTTCTGGAGGGATGCACATGTGAACGGGTCCCTGCGCTCAAGGTGTCCACTGTTGGCAAAGACGCACTTGACAAGCTGGTGAGTTCAGCGCTACTGTAACACACCTGTACAAATTGTGAGGGGTTTTGTTGTTCACCTGCAACGTTTGCTGAACGACAAAAGTTTAAAATGTAAGTCAGTCAAACGCACCAAACAAACGCTCGTGAACAGAAGACCGTTTAGCCTGATGTGGTAACCATAGCAACACTACGCTGCTTTAGGGCTTTCCTTTGAGAGTATATTGGATTTAACTCTGACTAATGCTATTTTAACTCTTTAAAATACATCTACAAGTCATACATTATGAAAACGATATAAGTTTCTGTTTAAATGTCTTTTATACGCTAACGGTAAGCAAATGTGTGTCCTTGTTATGTTTTGGTTACGCGTGAGAATCCTCCACAGATTTTACCGTACTGCTGACTGAAATGACGTAACGTTGAATCCAAAATGATTTAAAGTTATGGAGTAATTCAAAAAAGATGAAGAAGAAAAAGTTTAAATATGGAACGCTGCTTTTTTTATTTGAATATTCATAAGTAGATCTAATTATCCCTCGCATTTGGAAATCCAGCGCAATACTGAACTTGGAAAAAATAGTATTTTGCTCATGTCATCGAATGAGTATCAGATTTACACTTACAATTTTCTTTGGTAATAATCATGTGAAAACCTGTTGCATTGTACTGCCATATTCCTCCCGTGAATAGGATTAAAGTGGCTCTGAGACTTGACTATGCAGATTACCCTGTTAATAAACCTCTGTAATAT